AATTCAATGCTCATCAGCATCATAACACTCATAAGGACCACAAATATTTTAAATTAGAGAGAGAGGTGTGAAAGGCGGTACTGCAGAAATTTAAAGATGAAAAGCAAAAGCAAAGACAATCTTTCAAGTAGCCACAGGACCTGGAAATAATGCCACTAAAGCAACTTACAAAGTAGCTTATATACTCAGGGGAAAAAAAGGGAAGCCATTCAGTGATGCAGAAATCGTGAAAGAATGCATTGACAAATAGGGTGCTTAGACCCCGGTAACGTTTCAAAGTACAAAGAACTGCCTCTTTGAAGGAGAGCCATAACTGACCTGCAGCATGAATTAGCTTTCAACTTAACAGAACTTCATGCAATACTTCAAAAGGAAAATATATACTATTCAATCGCTTTGGATGAATCAACTGATACTACTGACTCCACACAGTTTATACTTCATTTGGGTCATAACAGAAGAGTTATTCGCTTTGGGCACTCTTGCTAACAGAACACCGGGAATAGATATCTTCAGCAACTTTCAAGATAAATGTCATGAAGTTGGACTGAATTTGGTAAATTTAGTGTTATGTACAGGCAGTGCACCTTCCACGACAGGAAAACACAAAGGGTTTATTACACAGATTAAAAAAAGTATTAACAGATCCAGATGCTCTCATTTCTCTTCGTGGTATCTTGCATCAGCAAAATCTGTGCTAAAGCTATTTTAAGTGACACTTAGCAACAAGTTGTAAGTATTGTTAACTATATTCCTGCAAATGCAACACAGAGTCCTCCGTTTTCCTCAGTTTTGTAACATGCCAAAGTTGAAGGAAGAGGTATTCAGTGTGGACTTGCCGTATCATTCTAAAGTGCGTTGGCTATCGCAGGGACAGGTGTTAGTCAAAATTTTATCTCTGCAAGAACAAATACTTAAATTTCATGAAGGACAGAATCAGCGTTGTGAATTATTGAAAGAAGATTTCTTGGGAATGATAGTAAAAGGAGTTAAAAAATAAAAAAAGAAGATTTCCATAGGAATGTAGTATTTCTGTATGATTATCATGTCAAATCAAAATGACCCAAACATTTTATTGCAAGGTAAAATTAAGTCTATATATGATATATGGCAAAAAATCCAAGCATTTCGGAAAAAAAGCTATCTTTTTTCAAAGTATTTCTTCAAAAGGAAATTTTGGATAAACATTCTCCCTAGTTAGCAAAGGTCATTGATGAGCAGGATGATATATGCGAATCATTTGAAGAATACGCAGCTGTTATAGACCTACTAACTGGACAATACAATGAAAGGTTCACTGACTTTGAGAATCACGACATCACACTCATATTAGCATTTCGGCCTCACCTAGTTGATCTCACCAAGGCACCTAAAGAACTACCGATGGAATTGATTGAGCTCTCAGTAGATGCCAATTTAAAGTCATTGTTTGATACTCAGAAAGATCCAATCGAAATATGGAAAAACTGCAGTAGAATACCCACACCTTTGGCAATGTGCCTGAAAAATGCTTTTCAACCACTTATTGCTGCGAAGCTACATTCTCCTACCTAACCCAAACCAAGATGCTCTTAAGGTCACAAATGACTGACATCCATCTAGAGGATCAACTGAAACTGTGACCTCCATGCTGCAACCAAATATTCAAATGCTTTCCAACAAAAAGGAGACAAAAAGAGTCATTAAAAGGTTAGTTAACTTTAAAATTAACAAATAGTTTTCATTTTCTGAAATTATTAAGTACATAGTAGATTTTTACAAAATAATGTATATTTCTAAGTATATCTAATTGAAGTTTCTTGAATGTGGCCTTATTTACTTACAGCTAAATTAACGTGGCCTTCCTACATGAAAAGGTCCCCCACCCCAGCCTTTACCGTTGGCACCACTCGCCCCATGTTGAAGCTTGGCAATTAGAAAATGCAGAAAGCATCAGTTCAGGGCTAAACATTGAGTCAAACACTACTACATTACTGATGTGTTTGGTCTAAAATCTGCTACAGATCTATGTCCGATTATAATCTGGACACACCTGAAAATGAAGAGCCATAAATTACGTAGCTGGTAAAATTCATTTTCGTGCTTGGAAGGGTTAAATGATCGATTTACTGTGTAGTCTCTTTCCCTTATGACTACCAATAAAATCTTACTTTTTGGTGGACTTTGCTTCTTGGAATTTGGTGTAAGTCCCTTTTCACTCTTCCCTGATTCTGCAGAGAGAGGAACTGTGGAAGCAAATCCTTGAAACACCCGAGCTTCCAGGAACATAGTCTGACAAAAGAATTAACAAATAGGGATGTTTAGAATATTATTTATAACAGGAATTACTATATAGGAATATTATGTGTTACTACCACATATAAATGCGAAGTATTCATATGGCATACTTCTAATGGTTATTAAAATTTTTGTAATGCATGTGTATTATGGAAATTTTGGAAAATACAGAAAAGTTGCAAGAAGAAAACACCCAAGTTGAGGGCAATCAGGTTAATGAAAGGGCAAGCAGAGGTTCGTGTTCATTTCCTCTGAGAGGCAGCCCAGGCAGTGAAAAGTGCATGGATTGTGGTCACACAAGTCCTGGGTTTTGACCCAGGTCACCGTGAGACCCTGAGCAAATGAGAACTTTCTCCAGGCCTCAGCGTCCCCATCCTCTGGGGGAAGCCAGCTTGATAATCAGCCATGCTCCAATCCTCTAGCTGAAACTTAGGCCCAGACACATTTTAAGTGGAGTTCCCCTCCCACAGATGGGACACTCTAGCAAGGGTACCGGTCCTGAGTATGTTTGTATGATACTCCAATATAGTAAGAGAGAAATGCAGTGAAGTGCTTCTGGGCAGGGATCAGGGAAGACTTCGAAAAGCAGGGGGCATTGGAAGCAGAGGTAAGAATCAGATCTATGGAAATGCTCTACCATCCAAGAAGAATGTCCCAGATAATGCTCAAGCAAAAGCACAAAGGTGAAAAAGTCAGGAGAACTGCAGAGGGAGTGATAAATATTTCAATACCATCCTGAGAAATGTTTATTTTGTGCTGGGGAG